TCCTGCTGCTGATACCCCCCGAGTTTGTCCCCAGGCTCCAGTGCCATCACACCAGCAGCTTAGAAATACTTCTGAAGATGCTGAACTGCTTGGGATCACGTTATGTTCACAGCCAGCTGAAGAACAGGTTTCTCAGATAAAACCCTGGGGGGTGGGCATTAGCCTCTACCCTGTTTGCTCAAATAAGCCCATTTGCAGGGTCAGGATCCTCCTTTCGTTTTAAACCCTCCTCCCACACCAGCCTGAACACTTGTGTGGCCATAAGCTAACAGGAACTGCCCGTCTAATTCTACCTTGCATCGTCTCATTGCGGTGTGCTAGCTAAGATTTTCTTTTCTAAAGGTAAAAAGGAAAACCGATGTACATCAGCAAAGCCTGCAACACCACCGCAGCTCCTCGGAGCTGCTTCTGGAGATAAATATTGCCGAGTGTGACCTACGTGATTTCAAGAGATGCAAACCTCTTCATTTTCTCAAGTACTCGATTTCTAAACAAGATAGACAATGTGATAAAGCATCACTCCAGGCAGCCAGCCACCCTTTAAGAATCCCCAAATCACCGAGTGGTCCTGCCAAAGATTTCCACGACGACACCCGGGAGCAGGCAAGGGACGGGGAGGATGCTGCTGCCCTCCCGCTCGTCCTCCTGCCTGCCCAGAGTCTGCCCCAGCCCCATCCCCCCGAGGTGGGGGCAACCAGCTCGTACCGGGGACCAGCCCTCCGGCACCGCGCCGCCTCCCCCAGACCCTCCAGCCCAGAGGCAAGGGCAGCGCTTTGCCCTAATTAACATCCTCTCACCACCCGCTAACGCAGATGGACACAGACACTGTACCTCCTCGATGATGTCTCCGTTCTCCGCGTGCACTTGGGCGATGGCCCCCAGGTCCCGGAGGATGCAGAATATCTCGTACATCTGCAGGGGAGGGGGGCAGCGTCAGTAAACCCCAGCTCACACTGGGTGCGGGGGCCAGGGCTTCCAGCCGGCACCGGGACGTTACCTGGGCATCGGAGCACTGCAGCCTGTCCTTGTATGCCATGAAAACCAGGAACGAGTTCACACCTGCAGAGCAGAAATGAAACGTGTTTATGGTCCCAGCTGGGGAGGCAGGGGGCTGTGCAGGGCAGGGTCAGACCGAAAGCAGAGCCGGGCGAAGGGCTGGAACGGGAACGTCCCCACAAGGGCTGAACCCCAAAGCCTGGGAGCCACCAAGGACAACACACCCTACCCCTGGGTGCAGCTGCACCACACAAACCCCCCCCCAGCCCCTTTCTGGGTCAGGTTCTTTGTAACTCGCTCCAAATTCACTGAACCAAAGGCATCGCTCCCCCCTGAGCTCCCCCCCAGAGGTGGGTTTGATTTACGGCTTATCCCCAGCCTCTCCCGATAACTGTGTCTGAATTAACGTGCCACCGCTAACGCTACAAATTACAGCAGAGATGGGACTCTCTAATATCAAAGCAGGATGGTTTAGTGCACTCTGATTAACCTGGAGAAACAGATGTGCAGCTGCACACCATCCCCATTCATTTATGAGATAAAACATGATTCATGAAGCACTGAGTCAAAGCCAGGGGACTGCTGCTGCATTTCATACAGAGGCAACGGCTCATCCCAAACTACCATCAGATTGCAAACAAACTGTATTGCATTAAAACATACACATGAAAAGTGCCAAGTTGCAAACAAATTGTCTTTCATTAAAGCATACACATGAAAAACGCCCGGTCTGAGCCTGGAGTGGCTGCTGCTCGGGCTGCTTCGCATTTTAATGGGAAATTCACCGTGAATTTCTGTGGTAATTGAGCAATTAAACCCTTGCTTGCAAGCCTGCAAATTACACTGGAGTCGTTTACCTCTCTATTAGCATATCTGAAAGCAAATATCATCGCAAACATGGAAATGAGCATTAATGCAATGCGCAAATTCCTGCGCCTGGCCAGGCTCCCATGAGCTGCAGCCAGCGGATGCTTCAGGAGATGCAGGAATTACCGGCACCAAGGAATCTGCTGGGAAAGCCTGACGCCTGGTTCCATTCTGGGAGCCCCACCCTGAACGTTTGTATTCAAACACATGTCGGAGGGGTGGGTTATTGCCACAGCACCGCCCTTTGTGTCTCACCCTTGTCCTTGACCAGCGCCTCCAGCTCCTCCCGCAAGCTCTCGTGCCAGCGCGGGATGTCCACGTGCAGCGCGTAGTCGCAGCAGACCTGCCCGTCGGCAGCCCCGCGCCAAAAAAACTCCTCGTAGGCAGCCGGGAGGGTGTTCCCCGCGGGCAGGCAGACGTGGTCGACTGCGGGAACACCGGGAACAACACACGGGGTCAGGGAACCCCGCACAGAGAAACAGCCGGGCATGCAGCAGCCACCCCCGCTCTTGTGCGAGACTCTACTGCTGGGAAAAGACGACCCTTCAATACGAATTCATTTCTACACCATTAATTAATAATAAACTTCACAGATAAAGTGAAACAAATGGAACAAACTAACCCCAAGTTAAAGAAGTCTCCATCATCCCATTTTTCCCACAGCCCACCCAGCACAGCAGCCGAGGCCAGTGACCAAAGCGCATCCTTGCAGCTGCTGCAGAAGAGCTCGGACATTTCCAGGGGCAGCACCCATCCCTGCACCCCCTCTTTGTCCCTGCCTATGGGATGGGGACTTGTGGGGCTGGTGCTTCACTCTCATACCACAGGGGTCTCAGGACCAGAACAGAAGTCAAAATTATTATAAACCAATACAAAAATGGAACCCAAGTCCACAGAGCTGAAAAACTCTTACAAAAACAAAGTTGCAAAGCTGCTAAAAACAGATTAAAAGGTGGTTAAAGTTTTCTTCTATTTTATTCTCTTATGGAGCTGAAGTAGGAGCAGCTGTATACATTTAAGGTACGCACACAGCAAAGGAAGGAGGTTCTGAAAGGCACATAATGTGGTTTAACGACTTTTCCAATGCTGATGTTTGTCTACTACGAGGGTAAATAACCTCTGCAAGGATAAAAGGCCCAAGGGATTTTGCTAAATAATGTTCTACTTAGAAGTCTATTCGAACGCCACTCCATCTTACTGATCATGGTGGTTCCCCCCGCCAGCGCTGCCTTCGTGCCCTGGCAGAAGCCGTCGGCCGGGCTCATCCCCATGGCGGGCGCCTGCAGCCGCGTGTGGACGTCGATGCCCCCCGGCATCACCAGCTGGCCGCAGGCATCCACCGTCTTTGCGCCACCAGGAACCACCAGGTTTTCTCCAATTTGTCTGAAAATGACATTGAGATCTCCTGTGAACTGGCAATGAGCATCCAGGGAAGATGCAGAAACAACCCCCAAGCACTGCCCAAGGTACACAAGCGCCTGCCCCGGGGGGAACGCTGCACCCAGGGGTGTGGGAGCAGAGCTGAGCTCTGCTGGAGCCTTGTTCCGATTCCATGGCACTGCATCGTGCTTGGAAAACACATCACCAAACATAAATGTTTAACTTACTTTATTAAACCATCTTCCACGTAAATGTCTGCATAAAAGGACTGATCATCATTGACAATTTTTCCTCCTTTGATCAGCAGCTGGTCACTCTAATGGAAACAAAACCACACTTTCTTTAATGATTACTTTATTTAAATGCTACTTTACATATTCTGAGCTTTCATTAAGTGTAGAATGTAATATTCGCCCTTATCATACAAGCCTAGTGACTGTCCAAACTATTCTATGCCACAGCCCAGCTGTATTCTGCAAAGGAAACCACATCGAATTGCCACTCGAGAGGAACACCGATCTCCTGTGAAGCACGGTCCAAGCCTGGGGTGTCCAGGCAGCACAGCAGAGCCCCACAGCTCCAGGCACCCCAACGTCCCCCTCTTCAGAGCAGCAGGGAGCGTGCTCCAGCCCCTGCTGCTCCAGCCCGGCCTCGCAGGGAGCACACCACAGTTCATAGAATCATTCAGGCTGGAAAAGACCTTGAGGATCATCAAGTCCAACCGTCAACTCAACACTGCCCAACCCACTAACCCATGTCCCGAAGCACCACATCGACACGTCTCTTGACCCCCTCCAGGGATGGTGACTCCACCACAACCTTGGGCAGCCTGTTCCAATGCCTGATCACTCTTTCTCTACAGTTCTGCCAGGTTTGTGAGACCCCCGTCCTGCAGCTCAGCCATGCACCTGCCTCCTCCATCAGCTCCGGTTACAGACTCCTAAGTGCATCTAATTAACCCAGTAAGTATTGACACTCCTTTGCTTTCACAGCCTTGCCAGGCTGATGATGCCTCAAGGACTCTCCTCACTTCAAAGCCAGACAGTGGCACACTTTGTCAGATTTGCAGAATCTTTAACCAGAGGAATTAGAGAGCAGTGGCATTTCAGTAAATGTGGAACTGGAGCCTAATTTAAGAGGATTCTTGTCCTGCTCTCTGGTGCTGCTAGAAAAACTATCACCAAGGCTAAGATGGGGAACACAACGAGCGTGGCCTTAGCACAAAACAACAGAGGGATGCAGGAGCAGGGACAACACAGCCCAAAAGATGACAGCACAACCATGTCTGCTGATGCAAAACAGCCCGGAAAACATTCAGGGGTCTCATTTGAAAGAGCATCACTGCCATATTGAAAAAAAACCAAACTACTATTAAAGAACTGCACTGTGTTTTTAAAAGTATCGAGGCTTTTGTGGCACTTTCATTGTTTTCCCTTGTCCCACACCATCAATCAAAAGAAACATCTGTGTCGGCTGCCCCACGGGAGCCCTACGGCCCCTCCCCTTGGGGGGCCCATCCCCACCCCTCTCCTCACCACACCTGATCCCCATCTCCATCCACACTCCACCCGATGCCTATCTCCATCCTGATCCCCCCCTCATCCCGACCCCCACCCCACCTGATCCCCATCTCCATCCTCAGCCCACTTCTGCCCCCGCCCCGAGCTCTGCTCTCGCAGGGGGGTCACACCCCTCGTCCCCGGGTAGCCCCCGGGATGTTTTCCAGGGAACTCAGCCCTGAGCCAGCAAAACGAGAGAAAAACCCGAAAGCATCGCTCTCTAGGGATTCCCGTGCTCCAGACGAGGAGCCCCGGCGCCAGGAG